CTTTTTTAGAGAACTTTTTAGTATTGATTTTTTTTTTTTTACTTTATTAGTTTTTTAATGTTAGTATTTTTTGCTGCCATGTTGTACACCTAATTATTAACCTTTTGGCTTTTATTTATCTATTTAGTATTTGGGGTTGGCTTACCTCTGGTTGTTTTGACTCTAGGTAGTGGCTGTATTTTTACTACTTCAACTTTAGGTTTAATTTTTACTATGTGAGGTGTAAGGGATGCGGAATTAGCATTTTGGTGCTGTTTTTTTAGGGCAAACAATGATTTGGTACTTGATTCTTAGCCAGCTGTTTTAATCATTTAGCCAGTTCTTTGTCTTCTTGCAAATTCTGTAGCCATCAGAGAGCACTGTGGTCTGTTTGTAATGTGAAGCACTTTCCTAGAAGGAAGTGTTGAAAATGTTTGCTAAAGATCATCACAGCAAGCAATTTATTTTAGTTTATTTTTTTGTAGTTGCATATTGGCACTTAGCTTTGTTTGAGGCTTGACTTGCATAGGCTAGTACCTTTTTTGGGCTTTCTTTAACTTGTGACAAAGCAGCTTCAATTTACCTGCATTAGTGTTTAATGAGAAGGGCAACTGAGGGTCTGGATAAATTAAGACAGGGGATGACATTACAGTAATTGCTGCTTTAGCTTTATAAAGGCATTTTAATATTTCCTCATTTAGATTAACTTTGACTTACTGTAGAGCTTATGTAAGGATCTTGCAATGGTAGCAAAATTTACCACAATATATTTATAATAGGAGGCTAAACCCAAGAAGCTGCACAGTTTTGTTATATTTCGAGGTACTAGCCAGGCCACAGCCTGCACCTCCTCTGGATTTGGGCTTACCCCTGTTTGTGGAGGTTACATGTTTTAAAAAATTTATTTTCTTGCAGAAAAGCTGACAGTTGGTGGGTTTAATTTTAAAGTTGGCTTTTTTTAGTGTTTAAAACACTACTCTTAGTTTTTGCAAATGCTTTAAAAAAGTTTGTCCTATTCAATTATATTACTTTTCTAGGTACACTAGATGGGATGTTTCTTGTAAATTCACTAACATGATATTTATTAGTTTTTTAAATGAACTAGGAGCATTGCATAATCCAAAAGGCACAACATTAAACTTCAAAAGTTTCTTCTTAGTTCAGAAAACTGTTTTAACTTTATTTTTGGGTGCATATTTCACCTGCCAGTACTCGCTAGCTAGATTAAGGATGAAGAACCATTGAACTTTGGCCAGGAGGTTTACTGTGCTATTAATTTGAGGTAAGGGGTAGGCATTTTTAACAGTAACATCATTCAGGTTATGATCATTTACATGGACCTGCACACCTTGCCTTTTCTTTTGCATTAACACCACAGGGGCAGCCTATGGGCTGACAGAGGGCCTGATGATGTCTTTTTTCTCCATCTTTTGCAACTGCTGATTGAATTTTTGCTGGAAATGGATGGGTGCATTTGAGGTCCCTGTTTGACAGGTTTGGCATTGCCAGTATCAGTTCAGTGCTTTGTTAAGCCTGTATCCCTTAGGTTGCGGTTTTTAAGGCTGAGTACGTTTGTATAGTTCAGTAGGACTTTCTGCACTGCCCCCACTTAGGCTTTGCACGGAAGTTATAAAAGCACCTTGATCACCCTGTAATTTTTGTGCTTTATACCAAGCACTTGAAGATATAGTGCCACTGAAACCTAATACATGTGCAGCTCCTATTCATGGGTATTCAGTGCCTCCACAGAGGCCAAGTAGCAGGGGATGCGGTCACCTGCTTTGTAAGCTGGCCAGGGCTCCAGAAGCTCCTGGCTGGCTGTCAGTGGGGGGGCTCTGCACCCCCAGAGCTGGTGCCAGCAGGCATTGGGGACCCTCTCCAGGGGGGGGATGGGGAAGAACCAGCCAGGGCCCCCCAGCCCCAATTGCTGACTTAACAGCTCCCTCCGTTCCCCCATGGAGGCAGCCAGCTGCAGGGGGGAAGGAGGAGTCTCCTTGAACTGTCTGCCTCCTGCCTGTGGCAGACCAGGGGCATGGCACTTAACCCTCTCCAGGGAACTCCTATCCCATTCCTTAAGGCATTCTAATTTAAAGCAGTACATTTACTACCTGATTTAACAAGGGTTAATTTTTTGCACTCGGACATTTTTAAAAGCGCTCTACAGCTGTGCATGCGTGTTATACCACAGCTGTAAAGCACATTCAGGGGCCAGATCATACCAAAAAGTCAACTCTGTCTGTGCCCACAGCATGCCAGTTTTTCTGCATTTCATTGAAGGTTATTGCCTGGCTTTTACAGCAAAAAACCTTTTTGATTTGGGGTTCTCCTGCAGGACAGCCACACCTGTTTAAATGTTCCAGTCACAGTGCCCTGATGCACGATCTGTGGCTTTGTTGATGTGTTAACAACACACACTGGGCTTTTACCCATGACAGTTTTCACTAGGAGCCCCAATGTGTTAGTGAGCTTAGTTTTAAATAATTAGCCCTCCTCTTCTTCACAGCACCATTTTTTTTTAGTTTGCCAGTGATTATTGTATTGTTAGATTTTTTTATCATCACTTTACATGCCAAGCACATGTCGTCAAGCTGAACTACAGCCTATCAGAGCCACGTAATTACAGCTTTCCACTTGTGCAGTCATCTTGGTGTCATGTACCCCAAGTAGAACTGTACCAGAGAACACAGGATGAGCCACTTGGGGTTTCCAACTTCATATATGGGGTCTTGGTTCACAGGACAATGGCCAAAAAGAAAGAACAAGACCAGGTCAATATGCAGTATCACATCACAGTATTAGAACAGTGACAGTATTACTAGCAAGGCTAATAACGATCCTGCAAATGCACACATTTAACACCTTAAGTTTTCATTCCACCTTTGGAGGTGTACCCTACAAACCGGCCTTAGTCCCACAGTTGCTAGGTACAGGTCTCCAGGTCAGGAACCATGGTTTTAGTCCCAAATCTGGCTGCGTATCTTCCTCTCTCTCCTTCCAGCTGCCTGCTTGGCTTCTCTTTGTCTCCATCCCCTGCCAGCCATCTTCCTTGGCTTACTCCATGCCCACTTGCTTGTCAATTCCTCTTTTTCTCACTGATGCCAATGAGAAATGTAGGCAGTTACAGATTTAAAGCCACATCATATACAATTCACAGTATATTTCATTGGTATATTAAACATATGCTCAGAAACCACAGGCTTGTCAGGGGCTCTGTTGCAGTGATTAGGCCAGGCTAGCATCTGCTTGGAGATGCAGCAATGTAGTCCCACCATGACACAGTGACAGGTTGGGGGATGTAACAAGTGAGCATCCCGGGGCCGGTCAAATCATTGGCCCACCCACTTGTCTCAGGGCTAACTACCCACCTACTTTGCCTGCCACCATGATACAATTAAATGATGATAACTAAGCAGGAGGCTACCCATTTACTTGCCCTGATGTCAAGGGCTTATATACATGGCTCTGACCTACCCTATACCATGTCTCATGCCTCGCAGATGGCATCCATGGCTTAAAACCCAGCCTTAGCTTGTTGGGCCTCACCTGGCCTATAAGCCTATGCTCTCACACTGGGACCCGCATGCCAGAGTCTCACACAGGACTCTCACTCCCCTCTGGAGCTCACAACCTCTGTGCTCTCATCCAATCAATCAGGGCTCCCCGCCCCTACCTGCTCAGGGTTGCCAGCCCCTACTACCTCAGGCACTGTACCTCCACAGGGTCACCCGCAAGGCAGGGAGGGCTGAAGCTTTCTGGCGCCCCATTCTCAACCTTCACCGAGGAGGCACAGGTGTGGTACGTCCTGGAGACTGCCTTGCCACCAACAGTCCCACCACACCATCCAGCCCCAGGACCAGGAGCCTCCTGCCATCCCCACAGCTCCTACCCATACCACTAAGATGATCTGAGCAGTAGCTCCAGCTGGGTGATGTTCTTCTCCCAACTATTTCCAGCAGACCGCTGGCTACACTGCTCCGGGCCCTGCTCTCATAATGAACAGCCGAGCCCTGTTCCCAATCAGGTAATCAGGCCTGATTGGAAGTGCAGCCACCTGCAGCCTGCTTTGCCGGCGGCTCACACGCCTGTGCTCTGTTACAGGGGGAATGAGGTAAAATAAGGAATCCTTTGTAGGGAACAAGTTTTCAAACAGCTTTAAATGTACAGCTCCCTTTGGTCCTTTGCCCAGGGTGACAGGTTAAAAGGCAGGGAAAACTGATATGAGGACATTCTGGGAATGGCTCCAAGCAGGGAATTTCACATCAAGGAATAAAAACTCACGGTATCTTTTAGTAAGCCAACTAGATATTTGCAAACAAATTATTTTATTTATTTGCAAGCTTTCAGGCACACTCACCCTTCATCAGGCATAGGAGAGAGCAGAGATTGTGAAAGTTCTTCTAGGTAGAAATGAAAATTCATATTTCACAGGACAGCTGAAGGTGTGGTAAAATCTCCTGTCTGGAATAGTTCATTTTGTCCAGGTTTAGCACAGAGAAAGGTTGAAAAACCTCAAGGTTGTCTGCTGGCAAACGGGATGTAGAAGCATATTTCCTTCAGGTTATGATGTTTCATATTTCACATAAGAGTGGAAAGATGGACAGCTCTTCTGGGCAGGAATTTCCTTTGGCCTCTAAGCCAATACAGCCACAACCTGGATACCTGACACCAAGGAATGTCTTTAACTCTGGGACTCAGGGAGTGTGTGAGGGGTGTCATGGGGGACCCTGACCTGTCTGTCTGTCCATCTGTCTGTGTGCCCAACATGTGCTGGGCAGTACTGGTACTCCATAGTTCACCATGTGTGTAAGGGGTGTCATGGCAGGTGCTGACTTTCCCATCTATCTGTGCAGCAGCTGCTGGGTGGCACTGGTGCTCTCTGGACCACAGCATGTGAGGGTAACACAGTGGGCACCAAGCCACCAGTCCAGCAGGCAGTGGGAGGTACAGGTGCCCCAGGGGCTGTGAGTATAAGGGGTGTCAGAGCAGTCGCTGACCCATCCATTTGACTGTCAATCCGGCAGGCACTGGGCAAGTGCCAGCACTCCCTGGGGGAGCTCTGTGAGGAACGGGGCCGCGTGCTGGAGCTGATGGGGCAGCCACTGCACAGGGTGCTACTGGAGTCTGGGCGTGACTCATGGCTCAGCCTGACCCGGCCCTCGTCCCCCAATGTGGATAGGAACCCCACGCCGGAGCCCAACCCAGTAGGGCCCTACACACCAGGTAAGGGACGAGGCCATCTAGGAGAGAGCCTGTGCCCCCATCACTGCATCCAGTAGACACCCCTGCCTCCCTCGGGCCACCCCCTCTCACCTCCTGCCAGGGACCCTGTCACCATCCCCAAAGAGACGCCATCACCAGCCCCACAGAGATCCCTTCAACCCCTGGGATTGCCTCAGCCCCCCAGAAACCCCCTTATAGCTTTCCTCAGATGCTTCCAGCCTCCACTAGGGCCCCATTTTCTGCCCTCCCCAGAGATCCATCTCTGTCATGGATGTCTCTCCAGGGACCCCCTCTCTACCAACTAGGAACATGAACCCCATGACCCCTCAGCTCTCCCCATACTCCTCCAGCAACTGTCACCCAGTTGCTTTTCCCAACTTGTTGAGTCCATGGCTGCCAATGGGCTCTCCAGGAAAATGGCACCCAAGCTACATCCCTCCCATTATTCCCATGCTCCCTTGGCCCATGGTGCTGGCTACAATGGGAAGGATACACAGAGTGTGGGCTGTGCCTTCCCCCACTCCCATGGTGGGGGTGCTGTGCCT